TACGATGCAATTTTAAATAAATAATAAAAAAATATATATACCTTTGAAAAAAAGTCATACACTCATAAAAAATATAGCATTTCATTAATACTCCACCAACTATTCAAGTTATCAACATAATCCACTACTATTATAATGCAAAGTTCACAACCATAGTTCACTAATTCAAACTTTAAACACCAAAGAGACTTCTAATCCAAATTTCTAACATCCATTTTGAACTCAATCTTCAATTTCAATTGAAAATGCATCATCATCATCATCATTGTGATCGGATGCCAACAAGTCTTCACTTGTCGTTTTTTTTTTTTAAAAAATCAGAGCACAAAACGACGTCGTTTTTTTTAAAAAAAAAAAAAAAAAAAAAAAAATTGCACATATCGTCTTGTCGTTTTTTTTTTTAAAAAATCAGAGCACAAAACGACGTCGTTTTTAAAAAAATAAAAATAAAAAAAATTGCACGTATCCTGCGTTTCGTACCGATACGTATCGTATCGTAAAAACGTATCGTGTATCGGACGATACAACGCAAAAACGATACATAACTACGATCCGTATCGTTTTAGGGCTGTATCGTAACGTATCGTACGATACGTATCGCGTATCGTACGATACTAACAACTTTGTTTGGGAATCTATATCATAACATGAGTTGTAAGGCTCTTCCATAAGAGAGAGCTAAGAGATAGAGCATAAAATTTGGAGAATCACTAGAGATAAAGGAATAGAACTCCTAGTGCAGAAGGCTACCATTCTATCTATATCGTTCGGCTATCTTTAGCTCTTCACTTGGTTGTACAAGGAGCATGCATAAGGGGGTTACTATGCTCACCGCGCACTTGCATTACCCCTGGAGCTTCGCTATCGCTTCACCCAGCTCCTACGCCTACCACGAACAACAATCATTACATTACGTGGTTGCAAGCTAAGCTTCATACGGTCCTAATGAAGCCAAAAGACTATTTCCTCTCACGACCAAAGGCTCCGCAACACGTTAGAGAGCTTTTGGATCCCGCTCTAAAAAGAAGGTTTTCCTGTCCGCTCATCACAAAATATTTAGAGATCCCAATACACCCAATACCAAATAGTTGCCAAGAAGCACAAGCCAGAAAACATAATATGTGCCCCTGCCACACTTTCGTAACTCCAAATACCCGGATTCGTTATAGTCCCTCCTATGATACTCCAACCGCCCCATGAATTGGTCATTCCTAAACAAGTTATGAAGGGTATATCGCTCAATTGCCATGAAAAATTTTGCAAAGATTCCTACAAAGTTAGTTTCCCTTGGTCTCGTACACTCACTTTGGACGAACGCGGGTAAAGAAGTTAGTCTAAGATACTAAAATAGGCTAACAACTAGGAATATCGGAACAATAACAAGTAAAGGAATGGAGCTACTTGAAACCATGATTAGAAGAAAATTTAGTATAGCATTACCTACAAGAATCTAAATGGGTAGGAACTAAAGTAAGGGAAGTAGGAACAAATATAATTAAAATTATTAGTGCGCATGTACCTCAAATAAGATTAGATGAATATAATAAAACTTAGTTTTGGGAGGATATGGATGAGTTAACAAGAACAATACTAATAGGGGCAATAGTTCATGTAGAAGGAGACTTTAATGGACACATAGGAAATGATCAAGTTGGATATGAGAGGGTATATGGTGGATATAGATTTAGCAATAGGAATGAAACAGAAGATTCTGTCAGAAATTTCGCTATTACATATGATGTTTTGATAACAAATACAAATTTTAAAAAGAGGGATGAACATTTAACAACTTTAAATGTGGATCAAATAAAATTCAAATAAATTTTTTTCCCTAATTAGACATATGGATCATAAATCATGCAAGGACTCTAAGGTCAATCCAAGAGAGAGAGCTTAACTATGCAATATGGGATAATGACATTAGATTTATTTATTAAAAAAATTTAAAAAATAAGGAAGAGATTAAAAATCTGAGAACTAGATTGTGGAATTGAAGAATTGTTTAAGAATAAAATAATAAAAGAAATAAGGTGGAATTTAGAATATAAAACAAATGCAATGTGGAATACGATGGTAGAACAAATTAAAAACTATCTATAGAAAGGCAAGGTAATGGTACAAAATTAGAAAATTAGAAAAAAAAAAAAAAAAAAGTGGAGGAATTATTTTGAAAAGTTACTAAATGAAAATCGTATAATTATATATTGAGGATTATAGAAATCATGGTGAAGTATTAAAAATTGAAGATTAAGAGATACCATTTCAATATTTAAGGTTATTTTTTCATAGGAAGTGAGATTGGTGGTGATGTTACTCATAGAATTAAGGCGGGGTAGATTACTGATGCGCAACTAAGAAATAACACATTCAAAAATTGAGTGTAGTGGAAATAAGAATATTAAAATGAATGTGTGGTAAAAGTAGAATAGATAGAATTAGGAATGATTATATACATGAAAAATAAGAAGCAACACATATAGGAAATGAATTAGGGAGGAAGAATCGACTCACATAGTTTGGACATACTTATAGACGGCCTACTATGGCAACGGTGAGAAAGAATGATGTAATAGCTATTGACGGTAAGAGAAAAGGTAGGGAAAAACAAAAATTAACTTTTTTTCGATAAGATAAAATTAACTTTAAACTAAATGATAAAGAAGATATGATAACTTATTGTTCAACAGAAAGTATGACACTTAAATAGCACAATGGTGAAATTGGATTTCATATAGGCTATAGCCAACCCTGAAAATGTTGAGACAAGGCTTTATTGAGTTGAATTAGGTTGGGTCAAGTTTCTTTTCCCACCTTCTAATTCGCCTCAGACAAAAGCAATTCACTTCTTGCTTCTTATTCTTCTTGTCAAATTCCCTAGAGCCAAATATGCCAGAAAAATATCGTACCTAGATATTTCTTTATAAAATTCTATTACAATAATTGAAAAAGAAAGAATAGAACCGTATCACTTATCTTTCTTCTACCAAAGAAATTCTCTTCCTCGTTTTTTCCTCCATTGAACTCCACAAGAAAATGATAGTGATAGCATGAAATCCCGGGCATGTTTTGGCGCAGAGGTGTCAAAGGCATAATCAGTACTAATGCCTAACCTGTCTGCAAAAACTGGGGGGCTAACATAAGTTGCTTGATGCATTCCTTCTAAGACAATGCTGCTTAATACCCAAATTGCAGCTTTGACTATTGATCATTTAGATGCCTACTTTGTTGTGTATATACCCAAAGCAACTCATACCATGACGATGTGTTGGAGAGCACCCATTTTTGTCACAATATCAGACAGCCTAAGAGAAAATATAGTACCGAACAGTACAATGGGCAGAATTTATAAAGTGGGTCAGGGATAGTGGTGGTAATACTAGGCATTCAGTGGGGTGGGAAGGGATATATATATAAAGGTCATCTTTCATGTTGATGAGAGCTAGAATAAATCCTCCCTCAACTAGTTACTGAAACAATTCTAGTTCTTGTCCCATTGTGTGTCAATGGTTAAATACAATCAAAAGTTTAAGGGCATGAACAGGAAAAATAGATGTACCTTTTGATCAATCGAACGAGATCAAGAGCAGCAGGGTTTCGCATTCTATCGAGGAAATCGTAGAACGTAAGCGTAGAAGAACTACTCGTACTATCCATTTACTGCCCTTCACCAATTTGCTTTTCCACTCTGCCCTAATTTATCCAATTGGAAGCAATTATACACAATACATGCACCACCACCACTCTCTCTCTCTCTGATAATGGATGGTTGAACCCACACAGTGATAACTAGTGGAGGCAATCCCATTAGCCATTACATGTATACTCAAAAGAAGAGAGATTTTGATGTTAGAAAGACTGGTAGGTGGGGGTGGATGTAAGACTATTGACTCTTGCCTACTGCTAACAACAATGCCTAGGGCAGTAACTGGTAACGGAATTTACCGGGTACGCTTAAGGGCGTGTTGAATTAACAAAAATTTGTTACATTGACAACTTAATTTTGTCTTCTGGGGTTATAATAGTAACCGAGTAGAATAAAATATTTGAATTGGATTATAATACCATCTTTTTTTGTGGTATTAAAATAATTATTGTGTAAAAAATGTACGATAAGTATATGTTTTTAAAATTAATACGGTATCAAATTTGTTTACTAAACAAAGTATTAGACCCGATTAAATAAAAAAATAATACAATTAAATATTTAATCCCATCATAATACGTCTATCAAACGAGCCTTTAAGGTATTGTTTAGCCACCAATCTCTTTTTTCCATTGGCATGTTTGGGAAGTTGCACGATTTGGGCATTGGGATGCTTAGGAAGTTGGAATGTGTTTAACGTTGATAAGGGTAGCTAAGGGTATCTTTGGATGACAAAGTGATCATTTATTTCTTATTCAATCCAAATTCACTCAATTGTCATTTGAATATGATATAAATTGGTATACCCAATTCTTTCTTTTGTTTGAATAAATTATATATTTGTATAGAGCTCATGGATAAGAGTGATATAATTTATTTTTATCGACTATTATATACATATCCTATCTAATCTATCATCATATTTGATTTATAAATTAGCCTCTAACTCATTCTAAATAAAAAAATTACACTTTTACATCTATTTTTTGTAAAAATTTATTCAAATATAAAATCAATATCTTTAAATATATTATAACCATAAAAAATATACTTCATCAACTATTCAAGTTAAAAAAAATTAATTTTTTAAAAAATTAATCAAGGAGATTCCTTGACCTAGGGTGGGCATATTCAAAATTGTATTACATATCCTATCTAGCAAAAAAAATATCACAGTCCCTTTGGATGTGTTTGGATAATTGGCAAGGATAGGAATGGATTGGATTTTTTGTATCCTAACTCATCCCACCCAAACCCATTCAGGCACTTAATTAGATGGATTATGTATATCATCCAACCCAATCCATTGTTTGGCAAGGATCAATTGAATGGGATGGACTCCACTAGACTTTTGTAGATATTTACCATTATACCCATCATCATCTTCATAGCTGCTTCCTCCACTTTCCACCACCGGAATCGCCATAGCCACCTACTTGACAAAACCCACGGCCAGAAAGCACCAAACACCACCACCACCACACAGGGTATTCCACCACCACCAGAGCAGAACAACGAAACCCACGGCCAGAAAGCACCAAACACCACCACCACCACACAGGGTATTCCACCACCACCAAAGCATAACAACGAAACTCAGCACCGTGAAGCACCACCATAGCGAATCAACGAAAACTAGCACCGTTGAACCACCACCACGACAATGAATCAACCAAACCCCAGCACCGTGAAGCACCAAACACTTCCACCACCAACCCAAATAAACATACCCACCAAATCTGGCCTGCAAAAACCCTAGGCCTGGCCTTCGTTGCCTTCAACAAACAAGAGAGAAAGAGGAGACATACGAAGAGCGAGAGCCAGAGATTTGGGCTATTCGTTGCCTTCACAAAGCCAGAGAGAGAGAGCTCAAGAGACGAAGGGATGGGTAAATATGTCATTACCCTTCATAACCCGTCGGCTGGGATTGAAACTCAGGGTGGAGCTGGGTTAATTTTAACTCATGTAGTAAGGTTAAAAAGTACTGTAGCATCCGGGTCAAGAATAGACCCGGGATTGATATCCTAACTCATTTTTGACTTCCCAAACAAAGGTTTTGTGGGACCCATTACCTTATTACCCTATCCTTATGGAGGTTATCCCACCTTAACCCACTACCCAAACACACTCTTTGGGTTTCATTTAACCCATGCAAATGGGTTAAAGTTGATTTTTTAAACTGGGTTAGATAAAATCCGAATGGGATTTTCTTTGCATTTTTACTTGCCAAACATTGGATATATGGGCCCCATATATTTTTTTTTTATCTAATCCTACTATAGTTATCCACTTTTAACCCGGGATCCAAACATACCCAGAGTAAGTTTCTAAATAGAGAAAATATCAGTTACACCCCTTCTAATTTACCATATCTTCAAGGTCATTCTATCTATTTTTTGAATTTTTATTGGTACCCCAAAGGTATTAACTAGAATGCAATTTTACTAAATTGCCTATGATATATTTTAGGAAAAAAAATTTTCACACCCCTTTTTGATAGGCATATCTTCAATAAGACCCTCTTCGTTTTCTAAATTTTTTTATATATTAAAATTCAGATTGATTAAAATTTGATTCGAGCTAATTAAAATTCGTTTTTTACATATTAAAATTTGAGTTGATTAATTTTTTTTTATGTATTAAAATTTGAGTCAATTAAAATTATATTTCAACCGATTAAAAATAATTTTAATCGGCTCGAATCAAATTTTAATCAACTCGCATTGAATTTTAATCAGTCCGAATTTTGATACATAAAAATATAACTTTTAATAGAATCAAATTTTAATGCGTAAAAAATAAATTTTAATCAACTTAAATTGAATTTTAATTGGCATGAATTTTAATAAATAAAAAAATATAAATTTTAATTAACTCGAAGTGAATTTTAATCGGCGCTAACAACTCACGTGAAGCTCAAATAGCCACAAATTTTAATACATAAAAAAGAATTTTAATATGCTTGAACTTTAATACAAAAAAATAAATTAATTATCTCGAATTGAATTATATTCGGGTCAAATTTTAATATGAAAAAAAAAAAATTTAATCGTCTCGAATTTTAATCAAATTTTGTATAGAAAAATTGTTTGGGGATTATGTAACGACAATTTTGGTATTTTTGATGATTTTGTTTTTGTAGAAACTGTGGTTTAATGACATAGGGTGTAAGTGATGTTTAAATAAAAATTAGAAGGGGTGTCAGTGATGTTTTGAATAATAAAGGTGATGTCCTTGAAGATATGATAAACTATAAGGGGTGTAGTTGAAAATTTTCCCGCTACATATTTTTAAGTCAAAATAAAATTATCATTAAATATGGAAGATCGAGAAAATCTTGAGATATGTGATATGTGATATATTAAAAGTAGTGAAAATTGTCGAAAACTACAATTTTAAGACTTTTTTGTTATTGAGTCATTAAGTCCAAACTAATTTTATAAAAATTATTTAATGCCAAAAGTACCCTTCAGATGAGATCATATCCTATACTCTCTTATTCATTTTATATTTTTCCTCCTTTTCCCTGTCGATGTCTCTCTTATTATGGGCTACCGTTTCTCTCTATTCTCCTTGTTTTCTCTCTGGATATTATATGGAGACCTCGCAATGGTTCAACATCTACTACCGCATAACCTGATCGAGACATTGGTGGGGGCGCTTTCAAAGAAGATGTGGAGGTTCTATGGAACTTTGTTTCGAAGATGATGAATCTGGATCTAAGCGGATTGATGTTAAGAAATGACTCCCCACCCTTAGAGCTTTTGATTAGTAGATTCTTTATAACTTTTGATGAGCTAGATCCAGTTGGGTTCAAGCCCAATCCATGGGATGAGCCCGAATCAGCTAAAAGGCAGGTTAAGCTCAGTTCACGAACTCAGTCCAGTTCAAAGTTCAAGAGACTCAGGAATGTCAATGCACGTAGGGAGCAATTTATCGGCATTGCCACTACTCAAGGATAACACCTATCCTTCATTGTACCAATCTTTAGTTGTAGCTATTCTCCCCAATAGACTAGTGACTTGACCTTCATGTCACTGTCTCAACTAGGGTTTGTGCCTATAAATTGTAAACTCTCTACACATGAGAGACACACAGCTATCTCTCATACACTACACCTTAAGCTTACCTTTGCTCTCTCCTCCCTTACCTTCTACTTCATTCCCTCGTTAATAAAGTTCTTTGGCCACCACCGTCGACTTCAATGGTTAGGTCACCTCGGCCCAATCACCAAATCTTTGTCTTTTACTATTAAATACTTCATTAATTGTTTTACATCACACTCGAATGATTTGATTATGCATAAATCTACTTTTGTACATCATCAGTTTGACATCGTTTGTGGAAAACGACTAAGTTTTCTGTCATTTGTCAATTTTTATCCTAACCTATTTCAAATCCATGGCAATTATAACTAGATAGGTGAATCAACAGCCCGAGGATAATGACCCAGTGCGTAGGGGAGGAGGCCCCGCCTCTGCTAGCAAAACACTCCACAGCTACAAATCTTGTTGTCAGGTAACAACTTTTGTAGACCATCCAGTTGCTGGTAAGTCAAAAACTAGTAAATCCTCCAACTAATGCTCGCCTCAGGAAGCGTCGCCCCCCAACTCGCAGGAGGATTCGTACTCCCTCCAGTATGGGAGGTCCCACAACCTCTCCACTCATGGCATCAAGGCGCCCCCCAGTGTGGAGCCTAGTGCCAAGACGCCCCCACATGCTCCTCTTCCTCATGTACCTGCTCCACCCCCACACATTGTCGACCTTCTTGGGTAGGAGGATAAGGGAGAGAACCAGTATGTGGATCATGAGAATTACTACTACGATCTAACTGAGGGTGTCCTTAACCAATGGGATGAGAAAATTAAGGAGGTCCAAACCAGCTTGGCGACGCCCTCAGTGCCATCAAGGTGCAAGCGTCCGAAATAGTGGACTATTTGGTAAAGCATACTAACAATTTGTTTTATGGCAGATGTTGCCAACTTCCTTTTACCCTCAAAATTCAAGATGCCTATTGTGAAGACCTTTGATGGTACTAAGGATCCCCTCGATCATCTTGACACATACAAGTCTCACATGCAACTCCATAATGTGCCTAACGAGATTATGTGTAGAGCTTTCCCTATTACCCTCAAGTGATCCGCACGCCAGTGGTTTGCTAAATTCAAACCATCTTCTATCTACTCGTTTGCTGGGTTAAGCAAATGCTTCGTCTCCCACTTCATAAGGGAATGTCGACACCAAAAGCTAGTTACCCACCTACTCACCATCAAACATGATCGAGATGAAAGTCTAAGGAGTTACCTCACTCATTTTAACGAGAAGGCTCTCCAGATCGAGGAGTTAGATGACAAGGTTACCATAGGTGCCTTTATTGTAGGTTTGTACTCATCGAGTTTTATGTTCTCTGTCTTGAAAAGCCACCATCCAGCATGCCTAAACAATTATCAAGGGCAAAAAAGCACATAAATGGAAAGGACGTCACCAAAACTAGGTGAGGTGAGTCCTCCCCGCAAGGGTGAGAAAAGAAAGGATACTCACAAGGACAAGAAAGAAGTAAAGAACAAGAGAAAGAGAACGGAGAGAGTCGCCATCAAGTACCGCCTTGGTCCAGCACCTTTGAAGGAGAGACAAGTCTTTACGCCGCTCAATGCTTCGGTGGAGCATATCCTATTCCAAATACATGACGATCCTACGATACGTTGGCCCAAAAGATAAAGTCCACCCCGAACTGTATGAATCTAAACAAGTACTATCACTTCCACCACGACCACAACCACGACATTGACGACTGCTTTAAGCTTAAAAGGCAAATTGAGGAGCTCATAAAACATGGTCAGTTGCAACAGTACATTGCGCAGGGACAAGCCCATCCACTTAACAAGAACTAGGATGATAGAGAATGCTAGCAGCCCCTTGGAGAAATCCAAATGATCTCTGGAGGGTTAGGAGGAGGAGGTGACTCCAACTCCACCAAGAAAGAGTATACCAGAAGAGTTAGACAGGTGGAATCAAATGATCCTCGCCCGATGAAGACGCCCTGGCACTAGGAAAGAGAGGTCATCTCATTCTCAAATAGGGACCTCGAGGGGATCCAATTCTCCCATGATGACCCTATGGTCTTAACCATGATGGTAGTCAAATAGTAGATTAATAGAATTCTAGTAGACAATGACGACTTCATCGATATCTTGTTTGCACCAGTCTATGACAACCTCCATCTGG